GGTTTTTTTTTTTTTTTGTTAGACTGAGGTAAACTTGTGCTGTTTCATCTCTGCATGATTTTCACTCTTCAGTAAAATGTGCTATACAAAAAATCATGGGGATAGTTTATTACTGTCTTTAATGTAAACGACAAACCTGGCAACGGAAGGATTTCACTTCGCGTAACTCAATTATTTTGCTGTCTCAAGATACTACACTGAACAGTTCTAGCACAAAAAAAACAATTTAAAAAAAGGAAGAATGTGAACAAACCAAGTGCTCGGCATAGCTTCTTACCCTGACATGCCTCCCCGATGCATCACATGGCCAGGTCTGCCTCTACCGCCACCACCTGGAAATAAAAAAAAGGAAGCTTAAACACTGCCTATTATCAAAACCCCCATATTCTATTTTACCTTATTTGGGATGTTAAGAATACCTCATACATCAACTACCAAAGGGCGAGCAAGCACAATAAGCGATTATGCAGCTGGTGTACCTTGCCATCTCTCATGATCCCGCCCCATCATTCCTCCATCTACGCTGCCCTGCCACGAACGATCTTGATGTCCCTCAAACTTTCGACCGTGATCTCCCCAGTCACGTCCATCTCTAGAAAGAAAAACATTTTTTGTGAATATTCCTCATCATTTTGACAGTGCAGGGAGAAGCCAAACAGCCCCTCATTCATAAATACATGGCAGAGCCCCAATCATTCATATCAGGATGCTCAATACACAGAAGGTTACTGAATGATGGATGAGCCCTGCAGCTGTTTGTTGCTTCCCTTCTAAGCTAAAGAAACCTGGCTGGTTTACAAACCCTCTTCTTCACAAGGGGCTAAGAAACTTAACCAGAAAAGTATCTGGGCTCCAATATGCTAAAGTAATTTACCAAGGTATGTTCCAATCCTGTTTACAATAGTCTTCAATTTAATCTGCTCTAACAAATAAGGAAACAGGATTTTCTTAATCCAATTTATCCTACAAGGTAAATCCGATGCCTCATGATTTCTCCTCCAAGTACTTAGGGCTTACCATTCTGATCAATCCAAGAATGTTTTCGTTTCCTGCAGCCTAGGTTATTTAAAAGAAATTAAGACTTTTCAGCTCTGGATGCATTTTTACTAGCTTGTCGTCCCTTCAGAAAAACAAAGCACTCTTCCCAAGGACTGACGAGGTGTGCCTGCCACTTCACAGGCTCAGCAGAGGGGGCTGGGATTTCAAAGTGGTCCCATGCTGGGTTTTCTGCCAAGATTCTGGTGTCACTTTCATTTAATACAGTTGCAAATCCAGCCCTTCAGCTACAAGCTAGTCCCTCTTCAAAGACACTGTAGAGAAACCAGCAGAGGGAGGGAGCAAGGGGGAGATTCAGAGACAAGTGACAAAGATGATAAAGAGGTTAGAGAACAAGCTGCAGGAGGAAAGGCTGAAAAACCCATACATTTGCTTTGGAAAAAGAAGATTAAGGGGCATGAGTGAACACTTTCTGAATAGCTGAAAAGCTACCACGCAGAAGGTAGAAAAGACTGCTCTCTCTTGCCACAGAGGGCCAGGCACGTGGCAATGGGTTTAAACTGCAGCAAAGCTGATTTAGATCAAATCTCAGAAAAAGCTTCCTTCACGGTGAGAACAGCAGGACAATGGAACGAGCTGCCTAGGGCACTTGGGGAATCTCCTTAACGAGAGGTTTTCAAGAGGAGGATGAATAGGCTTTTAATTGGGATGGTTTAAGAACACAAAATCCTGCATCTGTAAGAGGGGTTGGATTTGATGACCCAGGAGTAGTGTGTACAGTTCTGGTCTCTGCATCTCGAAAAGGATGTAGTAGAATTTGAAAAGGTATTGAGAAGGGAAACCAAACGATCAGAGGTATGCAGCAGTTGCCATACTACGAGACCAAAAGGACATGTCAGTTTGGAAAGGAGAAGGTGGAAGGGGTATGATACAAGTCTATAAAATCCTGAAGGGTGCTGACAAAAGTAAACAGGGGACTGTTATTCACCAAGTCCCAGAACATTAGATCCTGGGGGCTGAAACAGTGAAATTAGTAGGAGACAGGTTTAAAACTAACAAGAGGAAGGTACACTTCTGTATGCAGCACATAGTTAAAACTTGTGGAACTCATTCCCAAAGGAGGTTGTAGAGGCAGACAGTACAGCCAGGTTCAAAAAGGGACTAAGATTGACAGAGGATAGATCTCTTAATAGCTATTAAACTGAATACAGATCAGAGATGTGTCCTCTGGCATCTCTAAACTAATGATGGTGGATGTGGGGAGGGTAATGAACAGGGGATGGATCACTCTAGATATACCTGGTTCAATGCTCTCTCTCTAAAGCATCCACTCCTGCCACTGACAGAG